CAGTCTGTGGACCCCAAGGTGACCTTATTTTGAGGGCAAGCACTGGAGGAGACTTCCGGCCACCTATTAGTAGCTGAGTCTCTGTGAATCTCTTATCTTGGCATCTGCAGTCTTGAAGGAGGATGAGGTAGGGTGTGAGATGTGGCACTTGTGACTTTCTCTTGTCAGCTTGTGGACCGTGAACAACGTAGCATCCTTGTGTGTGGAGCAGTGTGGAACTGGCCAAGTTACTGAACCTTCGGTGCTGGGGGCAAAGGGAATGAGGTTGATGGTATGAAACAAAGGTCAAGCCGAGCTCTGCTCTTGGTGACCTGGTGGGCATCTGCAGTCACGTTTTTGTTTTTGCAAAAGCAGCTTTCAAGTCTCTGCCTCAGAAGGAAACACAAAACGTTTCTAATGAGTAATAGGTTTGGCCCTGGGAGTTTGTTCTCTATTCCTTTGGTGATTTCTGTGTCACTTCCAAGTACTTTGTTGATTGACTGACTGATTGATTGACTGGATTTTCATTTCAATGTGTTTCTTCACATTGGTGGTCCCTGTATTCCCATTGCTCTTGCATTTCCTGTCCCATCGTGAGAGTTTTATATAACCAGAAGGCATGTGGCTGTTAGCCATGGCTTTAAATTTGCAAATGAGGTGTTAGAATGCTTCTCCCCGTGCTTAAAGGGCTCCTGGAGATGCAGACTCACCTGGGAGCCACATCAGACAGAGTCAGAGAAGCCTGGGAAATTGCAGAAGGGAAAGTAGATTCCTCTTACCTCAGTGGAGGGAGATGGTTCCTGTGGGCCTCTCTCCCTCAGTTCACATCAGGCTCTGTTTACAAATGGGTCAGCGGAGCACAGTGCCCCCAAGACTCCTGACGACAGAGTCTCGGAAAGCATTGCCTAGCACTCGTGGGGGTCACTGACCAAGGTCCCCACACAGGACCACGTAGGTGGGGCCAGGGCCATGTCTCTGGGTATTCAAGGCTGGCCATCTTCCTCTTCAGGTCCCCGGTGTCATCCTAGACCAGTGGTGCAAGCCTGTGGCCCCGTGCACAGCCGGCTGTTTATTACCACTGAAAGCCCCGAAAGGTTCACCGTCGCTGGCTAGGCCCTATGAGGGGCTCTGGCTCTGTTCTCCTTGCATCAGAGTGTTAGTGCCCTGAGAGGGTCTCAAGCTTTCTTGAAGCTAAGTTGCTTCTTTAATAAACTCTCCATTCACCTGGCGAGTTTTTAAATATTTTCTTAAAGTCTGGGTCCATTTTACTTTATCCACTCAGTTATCAGACTAAGCTTTTGTGTTCATCTTTATGTCTTTGAGACGAGGCCCCACCGTGTTGCACAGGCCGCTCTCAGATTCCTGGCCCAGGTGATCCATCCCCCGGCAGCAGCCTCCTGGGGCGCCAGGGTCGCAGACGTGCCTCACTGCATGTTTAAAGGTTCTGCTCCCCAGACTCCAGTTAACTTTGCATGAGCACTGTTCATGTGGCCCTAGTGCACATGCGTGCTTGTACACACGTTCACACTCTTGAGTGCCCACCCTGTGTAAGTAAGTGCTGGGCTCTGTTCCTGGGTATTGTGGATCACAGCAGGGCACAAAAGACAGCCTGATTTTATGCCCATTGCACAGAACAGCTGAGTTAAATCTGAGTGTTGACTGTGCCACACCTTGCTTCTGGGTCAGCATGGCAGACCCAAGGCCAGGCAGCTTGGAGCTCCAGTGCCAGCAGAGGACTCCAGAGGAAGCCCCACTGCCACCCTCACGGTGCAGGCTGGGAAAGGGGCTCACGTGGCCTCCTGCTGGGGGGGGGGGTACCGTGGGAATCGTGAATAACTCTGGAAAAATTGGCTGGAAAATCGGCTTTATTTTCAAAACACCACTCTTCCCTGGGTGCGCATCTCTCTTACAGTGCTGTCATCCCCGAACCAAACACGGAAAGGTACAGCCACCCATTGGGCACAGCAGGCGTCTCTGCCATGTGGCCTCTGTGCTCTGAGCTGCCCGCTGCATTTTGCTCCTCAGCACTTCTGACTAAAGCAGCCTCCCCGGTGCATTCCCCAATGTCAAGAGCAGCTGGTGAAAGTCAGGATGGCCTTCAGCCCAGGGAGCTCTCAGAGAAGACCAGTGCTTGCCCAGAGTGGTTGTCTGTGAGTCATCACGTGCACCAAGCGCTAGGTATCAAAGACCTCATGCCCACGGGCCTCGGACAAACCGCTGCACAGTGTAGTGCAAAGCTATGTTCTTTAGAAAACCTTTCCTGACACCCCGTCCTCCAGAGAGAGCTCTTCATCTTTGGGATTCCCTGTGCATGTGTGTAGGCCCATGGGAAAAACACTGGCTATTAAAATATTACCACTTCCATGTTTTTCTCACTAGATTATAAACCTTGAAGACAGGAAATCTGTTGATATATTATTTTGGGCCCTTGCCATAATGACTGAACACCTAGCAAATATTCATTGAATGAGTAAGACCCCTGCACTTATGCTAACACTGCCTGTGTATACACACACACATGCACGCATACATCTATGCGTGCCTATACTATATGTCTGCTTATATATTCTGCATGATAGCAGAAACATGGTACATATTTCCATACCTGTAATTGATCATGGATGGGTAAGTTCATTTCTGTAGCACACTAAAAATGTAGAGTGGTAGAAACTACTCCAGCTCCATTGAGCCAGGATGGTTTGTGGGAAGAGCTCTTCTGAACACTCTAAATACCTGATACGATTTTTTAAAGGTACTTGTCCATTGCTTAAGCTTTCTGATTGCTTAGATTAAGGACTAATGATAGCTTCCCCCAGGTAAAGCTGATACTCAGAGAGAAAACTTGGCAACTCCAAAGTCGCGGTGTCTTACGCTTTGCTTCCCCCCCTAACGCAGTACCTGGGAGCTCACGAGGCAGCACATCCTGCCTTCCCTCCCTCAGCCTGTGGAATCTAACCCAGCTCTGCCGGGACTAGAATGGGAGATGATTTTTCAAACATCAAAACAAAAAACAAGCAAGCTTCCTTCAGTGCATGTCGCTCCAGCTTTTGTCTCCATCCTTAGATGCCATTTTGATGAGGGTAAAGGCCAGAGACACCTTCAGAGGAGGACAGAGCTGCAGTGCTTTGGGCTAGGGAACGCGCATCACCTCAAGAGGCCAGTCTGTGGGTGCAGCCAGCACTGGCAGGGGCTGGAGGGTCTGAGAAGGTCCTGCTGGGTGCCGATGCCTCAGTGCCCCACAGCCTTAGAGAAGGAGACCAAGGAGAATGGCATGAAGAGGGCAGTGTACGAGTTGCAAGGAGCTGGGGTAGGAACTTTTTCCAGAAATGTTGACTTGAGATTAATTGCAGAAATAAACAGCTCCATTCTAAAATTTAAAAAAAAAGATACCTCTAAATGCCCCCATGAGCTACACACGCGCACACACACACACACACACACACACACAATTTCCTTCGGGGGAGGGAGCAAGTGTACCTGGTGAGACAAGAGCTGCAATAATAATCCAGCTTTGATCAGAACACCTTGTTTTCCCTCAAAAATGATTTCTAATCAATGAGAGCTACCACGGTGCACCGAGGAGTAATTACCTTACATGTGTTTCACTCTGAGCTGTGATTAGAAACAAGATGTGAGATCAGAGGGACATAAAATGAATATAAGAAGGAAAATTCTCAAGTAGCAGCTGCAGTGCGCAGGCCATGGGTGTTTAATCAGCGCAGAGGCTTACTCCAGGAGCGGTGTCGAAATTCATTCATTCATTTGGCCAACATCTGCTCCACATTTTGGGCATTGCTGACAGGATCACATTGATGTTAAGGAAATGCAGCATATGCTGCCTTATATCCAAAGACAGAGCAAGAAATGGGACTTAGGGGTGCTGCGGTACAGAGGTGGGTGTGAGGAGCTACACCTTGTCACCAGAAGTTGCTGCTCTCGGTTTTCAAGCACAGACTACCTGATAAAATCTACCAGCCCAAGTAGTAGCTGAGGGCTTCATTATCCTAACATAGATGCCAGGGTCCCAGCAAAGTGGATAAAAGACTTGGAATAAGTTTAGCAAAGGCAGAAACACTTGAGGGCAGGCGAGGTTGAGTGTGTGGCATGAAGACTGCTTGGTGTCTGTAGAGGAGAGAGAGGAGTGTTTACAGGGGCATTTACTGCCACCAGGAAAAAGAATTTCCAGCCTCTTGTGAGTACTGCATGGGACACAATAATAAAAACTCCAGTCCACCGAGAAGCAGAAATGTTTGTGTGGTGCTCCTCTTGCTAAGCCGCCCAGGGAGAGACATTTGCCAGGGTCTCCTTGTAAGCCATGCAGGGGCTCTACTGCTGACCAATCCTTTTTAACCCTTGTCTGCAGATAGCCGAAAGGACTCCAGCCAGCTAGATCTGCTTATGTGATCTAAAAACACACAGCACCCCTTAGCCACAGGATTCCCTGGCAGGTTCTTGCCAGGTGATGCCCCGCCTCCTCCCCACCCCACCGGACCAGGTTTCATCTGCCTGCTCTAAATTCAGTATCACTGGCTGCATGCTTATCTTACCAGGTTTCTAAGGCTTCAGCATTGCTTCCTACTCCTAGAAGGAAGGATACGGATTTTTAAATCCTTATGCTCTGCAAAAGAATCGAGAGAAGCTAGAATTAGTAGTATTTTATTACAGCCGTCATTCTCTGACTGTGTTTACAAACAGGAGCAGTCACACATTCGGGATCATTGAGGAGCCATCTAAATGTAATGTAGAAAAGAGAGTGAAACTCCCCCCGGAGACTCGGCCCAGGGATGCTGAGCCCTTCATAGACTCTGTCCAGCAAAGCCTTCCCTGCCAGTAAGTGTCAGCCGCCCCTGCAAACACATGACAGGTGTCCTGCCCCTGGGGTAGAATTAGGGCCTGCATGGGCCCATTTATCTGCATGCAGGCAGAATTAGAATGGCCAGAATGTGCTGAACACGGCCAAGGGTTTGTGCCAGTGCGTCTGCCGTGAGTTTGGATTTATTCAGAGTCACAAGCAAAGCAAATTGAGCCATGTGGTTTATTTGAATATTACCTTGGAAGAGAGTGTAAAGAGATTAACAAACCCTAAGGGATGAGGGACGAGTGCCCAGCCCCTTCTTGGTCCCCACACTCAGGCGGGTTTTACAGATTCATTCAGGAATGACAGGGATGAAAGCTGAAAGGCAGGGTTGCCTCTCATTTACTGCCATTTCCTGCTTCTCCATCCTCTGAAGTATCCAGGCTGTGAGCACAGCAGTGGGGAAGGCCCTGGGTGTGAGGAAGGCGCTCTGGTTGCAGAAGGGCTGGGACCCTCCTTTGTCCTGACAAATGTGTTGGCTGGCACAGTCAGTGGGTGCGCTCAGTGGACCTGGTGCTTCACAAAACTGGCGTGGGTGACAAATCAAAGTAAACTGCACAGGCTTCGTATGTTCAGAAGCTGCAGGCTAAATAAACCGGAGGCTTTTCAACAACAACACCACCAACAACAACAACACCAACACCCTCTCAGCTCTGCTGTCTTTAGTGCCCTGTGGTGAGTGGCTGTCTCATTCCCCATTCAAAGAGTGACACGTTTTTACAAGTTGGTTTTTTTCTCCCCACTCTCAATTTCATGGAAGCAGGGGATAGGAAGGAAGCCAGGGGCTGTCCTGTTCTTGGGGCCCAGCCAGTATTTCTCAGTGTAAGTCTCTGATGGTTTGGCAGATTAAGATAGTGAGTTTTCCAGTAGAATAAGAAGCTGGAACTGATCAGGTAGAGAGCAGGGAAATACAAGGTAAAATCTGCAAGATTTTCTCAGGGTCCCTGTGGGTCTTTCTTGAGGGCTTTTTAAATGGCATCTTTATTCCTGTGGTATCCCACTGTTTTGCAAGTTATCTCAGCTGCCCCTAACACCTCGGCTACAAGATGGCAGTGAGAACTAGAGAGGACCATGCCCAGCGGCAGTGGCTGTTACCAGCCAGCCGGGTGACCGGCCACGTCAGCTCATGGGCCCCTTCCCACCTGTCCACTGAGGAGGCTGGGACTGCACAGCCCCCAGTGCTCTCTGCCATGGCCAGTCTTGGACTTCAGTTAGTGACCTGTCTTCTCCTGAGCAGGGCAGGTGTCCCATGAAGCATTCCTAACAGGGCCTGGAATGTAAATCTGTTTCCGTAATTAGTAGGTTGTTCCTAACTCCTCACAAATAATTGCACCAGAGTAGGAAAGAGGCGAGAGGACCCCCATCCCAACCCCACCCCGGGTCTCCTCGCTGGTTTTCAGCCCTGACTGGCTGGGGGGTGAGAACCGTGGCCAGTGTCATTTTGGCTCTGTTTCATTGCCCGTGTTCCTTACCTGCGGCTGGTAAGGGCACAACTGTTTGCTCTTCCTGGTGACTCGTACCAGTGAGCTGGGTCCACTCCTCCATGCTGCGCCCAGTGGTGAGACTGACCTCAGGCCTCTTGCTCCTCCTCCCTTCCCTCCCTGATGGGGACCAGTGCCTTACTCATCTCTGGCTCTTTAGTGTAGCGTTTGACATGTAGCGGATAATCAATACATACTCATCAGCTGCTTTGGTCCAAGAGCTAGACCGCAAAGGTGAGGAGGAAGACATGGAATTGAAACTAGAATTCAGCGTAATCAGCCATGGTCTCAGAATAAAATGGAAACTAACATCAGACGCTGGGACGCATGGTGACTGACCACCGCTGCTTTCCGCGTCCTCGTGGAGACTGTAGAGCTTGTTTCAGTCACTCCCAAATCACTGCTTCCTTCGTTTGGAAAATGAGAGGAGTCTGCCCTTTGTCCTTTAAACAGCAGAGCAAACCCAGGTGCAAATGGAAGCATCCCGTTTCCAGAAGGTCAGGCAGGGAAGGACGAGCGTTAGAGGCAGGGAAATACAAGCGCGTACTTCAAGTTCTCTGGAATAATCAATGAAGGACACTACACAGTTCGAGGCCCAGACAGATTTCTAGACGCACTCAGCTTTCAGCTCTTTGGGTCAGCATGCAGTATAAGGTGAAACCACGGCAAGCGTGTGGAGCCGAACTCCTTGGACCTGAATCACAGCTCTGTGCTCACGTGCTGTTATTTGAATTTCTCTGTGCCTCAATTCCAGGCGATAACTGTGTTTTCTGTGGTATTCGGATGGTTGTGAGAATTAAATGAATTCATATGCACAAAGTATGGGACCCACTGTCTTCTGGAATTAAAGATAGTCACATCTCTCATTGCAAACAAACAAATCCTTGTGTGGCTGGTGTGGAGTCTGGGACACATTGGATAATTCCAGAGGTGGCAGTCGTGTGCTGCAGTGGGGAGTGAATCCCCCCAGGTCAGGCGCCCTCCCTGAAGTCCCTTGGCAGCCACCTGGCCTCCTCCTAACCCTACCAGGTGTCTGCACCCCGGATCCAGGGGCTCCCCGCCAGAGGCACTGCTCTGTCCTGTGGTTCCGGATGCATTCACTACCGTGGGAGGGGTTTGGACCCGGGTTGTCGGGCTGAGTGTCCTGCTGTGGGTCCTGCTTCGTGAACCACAGGACTCCTTCACCTCCTTTTTGATGCCTTCTTTCTTATCTTTTGCCTCGCCTTTTTTTCTGTCCTCTACACTTCAAAGACTTCAAATCCAAAGGCTGGATTATTTTTTCTCTTTTTTACAGAACCCTCTTTAATTGAAATACTGTATCATTCAAATCTACAACTTTTTTTTAGCTTTTCTTTATAGAAATTTTAGTTATTTAAAAATATCGATGAGCATATTTAGTGTCTACCTTTCCTCACTAGCAGATGCACCCTGTGGAGATGGGAATTTTGTCCCTGTTCTTGTGTGCTGTCCTCAGAGTAAGGACAGACCTTGGCACTCTGCAGTCACCTAGTAAATATTCACTGAGTGAATAAATGGTCCCATGTACTTACGGTGTCTGTGGATCAATAGGGCTGGGATTTAGGAGCTCTTTGCTGTTCTCTTTTAGCAGACTTACAGCAAAAAGTCTTTTAAAAGCAATCGCTGACGTGCACTGTGCCCAGCTTGCCAGAGGGTTAATTTTTGTGATTGTAACTGTGCCTGATAAATGTCTTTGAATTAACGAGTCTTACAGAGTTATGGCTGATGTGAGAAGGTATATAGTTAGCATCTGTTTGTTCTCTGCGTCTCCTTCATCCATGCTGTACATATATTTCAAGGAACATTTCTTTGGGTGCTGTGTTTTTTCTATTTATGTCTTCCCCATAAAAATATAAATAGATCGTTTATCTCCGGTATCCTTAAAGTGGCTTGCATCATTTCACTCATTTAAAGTTTTACATAACCAAAATTTCTGTCTGATGTATGTACTGTCTGGAAGCTGAGTAGCTGGGAGCAACCCTGGTCACTTTGAGGTCACTACTTCCGGTAAGCCCAGGGGCCTGTGCAGAGGGCCGGGCACAGTGTATCCTGACTATGGGGCTCCAGTCCCAGCAATGCCACCTGTGATGTCGTGCTTGACACCAGACCAGATGCTATGTTTAGAGCTTACCATGTGGTATCTCCTTTGAAGAGATGCCAATCCCTCAGTGAATGCATAGATATTACTACCTTGTAGATAAGAAACCAAGGCCTAGAGAACTTGGGTAACTTGCCCAAAGTCCACACTGGTAGTATGTGACAAAGCTGGGAATCAAGCCCCAGTTCCCATGGTTTGTACCCTGTGGTCTTATCCACTGGGCTCTGGAGGACAGATCTGTCTGTATAGTGGGGTCCGCAGGACGGGCTGGGCAGCCACTGTCTAAGCTACTCACAAAAGACGAGCAAAGAGGATCGGTGAGTGAGGGCTTAACCACATCCCTTCATTGTGTTTTTGGTTTAAAAAAACAAAAAGACCCCAGACTTGCATGAAGGGGCATCTAGATCTCTCACAAGTATTCTGATTACTAGGAATGGTTATAGTTGACAGTCGTATTGTCAGGCAAGCAAGAGAAAGAGCCCCACTGTAGAACCCCATCCTTTCCCTGTTAAGAACCCTTCCAACAAGGGTCAGAGGACCGAGCAAAAGTCCTGGGATGCTCGGGACAGCGTACAGAATGGGGTGAGGCAGCAGTATCGTTGAAGAGATCACCTGCGTCCTGCACTCTGATGCTGTTTACTCAGGCTCCGGCTTCAAAGTGGAGCACACCTCTCACAGGGGACTCCTGCTGGAGGGTGGCCTGTGTCCCCAGAGAGGAAATGCGCTCCGGTGGAAGGGGTTGGAACTTAGGCTCAGGTTTTTCAGGCTTCAACCAAGTTCTTGGTTCCCCCAGCTTCCTTTCAGCGGGAAGTAAGGTTAACAGACTTCTGATTGAAGATGGCAGATGGAACACAAGCCTTAGCCTCAGTGGCTTCAAGATACCATTGCAGTTACACTGAAATTTTCATGCTTGAATTAAGGACCAAGCAAAAGTGAGAGGGAACCTCAGCAACATCATGTTTGGAAGCTGAAGGCTGATGAAGAAGTGGTAGCTACCTTCAGCAAACCCCAGAAAACTGGAACCCAGGTTGCTTGGGGAAAGGCACGAAACAACCCAACTTTAACATGCGGGCTCCCTGCCTCCTGCAAAGACTGAGGAGTGGGTAGCACCCGTTTCCTCTGAAAGCTGGCATCAAGATAGGGCTAACACAGGCTGTTGGTTGCAAATGCATATGAGAAGCAGAAGCACAGATTTTCCTCCCCAATTCTGGGCAGCAAAAGGACCACTTAGCTCAGTAAGCAACACAGTTTCGTGCCGTGGAAGTCTGGGGATTTACTCTGTAGAGAGGGCAAAGCAGGTGCTAGAAAAGGGTGAAGGCCATCCCCAGCTGTGGTCTGTGACCCCGGAGCAGATGGGAAGGTGCCAGCCGCCACTCCAGGAGGATGAAATAATTGCCCGCAGCGTGGCAACCCTCACCGCTTCTCCCATTTCCTGACTATTCTCCGTGTGCCAGATGCACTTCTGAGCGTGCATGTGTTAATGATTGAACCCAAACAGTCATCCAATTAAGAAGATAGTCATTAACTCCTTCTGCCAATGAAGGGATTGATATATTCAGTGCTTAATAATTTGCCCAAAATGATACAGCAAAAAATTCAGCACAACTGAAACTCGAACCCAGGCAGTTTGCACCCAGAGCACCTCACTGTGTCTTCCACCTCCCTCAGAGCAGGGGAAACAATGCAGACAACAGGGATGGAGCTGGGGAGAACCAGAGGCTGTGTAGGCAGGAGCCTTAGTTGTGAGCTGGACAGGTGCGAATCATGACCTGAGGAGACCACTCCATCCCTACAGCACAAGGATGGGGCACCATGCGGGGCTGGGCAGGGCGGGGCTGGGGCAGGGAGGTGTGGGAGGTCCAGGCATGTTTCTTCTGCGGAGGAGAAGCACTGGAATATGCATCAGCAGGGATCCGAGGATGTGATTCTGCCTGGCGACGTCCCCAGATCTTGGTTTGTGCAATTGCACTCTATGGTGATTGCAGGATAACAAAATCACTAATGATGCGTTTCCCAGAACTGTCCCTGGTATGTCACCACACACAACTGTAACGCCTGAAATGAAAAGAAAAAAAAAAAAAACAAAAAAAAACCAAGCAGTAGCAATAAAAATATCTTATGTGAAGATTCAGCCGTACCTCCCATAGAATTGAGAACCGAAAATAGATTGCCTCGAGAGAGCAGAGTGTGTGGCAGAACAGGGTGTGGGGGCTGCCGCCTGTCAGAATAAGTGCGTAGACTTACTTGATCCTTCAAATATGTACAAACACAGCCTTGATGCAAGCAAAAACTGCATCTTAAAAAGGAATACGTACCTCGCAATACTGTGACAAAATCAACTCATTCCATCTTCTTGGAAGCTCCATAAATGTTTTCCACCTTCTTTCAAGGACAAGTTCATATCCTATGCAGAAATAAAACACCACTGTCGGCTGTGCTCAGTGGCTGCCCACCGCTCAGACTTGCCCAGAGCCCTCGGCCCTCCCATCTGTCAGTTGCTAACATCCGTGGGAGAGAGAAAGCAGGGAGCTCTGTGGACAGAGACCTTGGCAGTGTGTGTCAGCAGGTGCGGGCCCTGTTAGACGCGCAGTAGCCACACAGAGAGATTGGGGAAGTGGGTGAGAAGAGGGCCGGAAGCACCTCTGCTGTGATGGGATGGGGCCGTAAAGGCATCACATTCTCAGCCACATTCTGAGGCTGGCCATGCAGTGCCCCATGGGTAGTGACCGGCAAGCCCCTCCCAGACTGTAAGGGAAATGTCCTGTACCCTAGAGGTGCTATTTTAGCCCCTCAGATGAAGGTGAGAGGCCAGTGGCTTGGAAGCCAGATTTGGGGGTTTGTGTATAAGATGGGGACAGGAGGGAGAGAGACAGCACACATATTTATAAAGTGTGCCATATGCCACTTGCTCAGCGCAATATGCTATTTTATTTCTATCTCTTCTTCAAAGACAGGGAAAGCTTATTAGGAAATCTAGCCATATATGTGTATTCATCTGCACATATATATTTATATCAAGTGTCTATGTATTGATAAATTGATTTTGAAATGCTTTTCATTTCTGGCAGAACCTTAGATGGTAGTGAACTTGGATCCTCTTGTTGAAGCATCCCTTATCATCTTACAATACATACTGAATATTTCTTATTTGAAATGCTCAGAACTAGAAATGTTTCAGATTTTTTGATTGTGGAATATTTGCATATCGAGAGAGAGAGAGAGAGAGAGAGAGAGACAGACAGACAGAGAGAGAGAGAGAGAGAGAGAGAGAGAATGAGAACCGAGTCAAAACACAGAATTCATTTCTGTGTCATTTACACCTTATGCCCAAAGCATGAAAATAATTTTATCCTGTTTTTAAATTTCATTTGTGTTTTGACTGTAACTTCTTACATGCAATCAAATGTGGAATTTTCACTTGTGGCATTGTGTCTTCTTAAAGAATTTCAGATTTTGGAGGATTTTGGATTTTTTGAGTTAAGAATGTTCAGTCTGTACTTCTTCGTATTGCAGGTAACTGTGAGTGTGGTTTTCAAAAAGAACACATGGTATCTGTAATCTGCTTGATAATACAAGTGACCTTTGTTTTGCAGACCCTCCCACCGCCTCAAAAGTGGAGAGAGGTCCTTGTGTTTATTGAACACCTGCCGCATGGAAGGCTTGGGGCTGACTGCAAACAGTGAAGGATAAAGCAGACTCAGCCTTAGCCTTCGAACTTGGTGACAGCAGTGCAGATCTGGAAAGAGTCACGTGAGAGGGATGAGTGGGCTCCTCCTGGGGGCAGGGATGGCGGGAGCACGTGTCATTCCAGGGAGACATGAGCTGCATTCCAGGGATCTGCGCTGTTGTAACCCTAATGCATCCCCAGCCTCCTCCTAGTCATTCTCCTGCATGTGATTGGCCGGGAGAGCCTAGGCTGTGTCACAGTCCCTGCCCTTGGGGATGCAGCAGGGAACAAAGGCAGCCTCTGTGTGGCGCGCACAGAGGAAGACAACAGGACAGATGAGCTCCATCTCCTCTGCTATGCCACTGCCTCGCTTTCTGTGACCCTCAGGCATTTCCTGTGTAATGCAGCGTGACTTTAACCTCAGCCAGGCGGGGCATTTCCCTGCTGCCTTAGGTTTGGCCGGTGTGGGTGCCACAGGTAAGCACAGTACCTTTGGTGCCCCGGCATTCTGAACACACCTTTCAAAGTTTTTCATCCCCAATAGTTAAACCAAAAAGGAAAGAAAAAAGCCAAAAAAACAAAACGAAGCAAAAACCCCACAATTGAAAACCACAGGTGACCACTGAGCTATTACTGTGTCCCTCAGGGTTCGGCCAGCGGCGAGCGAGCACTGCAGTCTGTCCTGTGTTCACATCAGTGTCACCTCGGACCCCGACTGCGTGACTTCAGACACAATGGTCTGCCGTGTCCTCGCTTCTGTAACACATGTGTGTCCCACAGCACCGTACGGTCAGGGTCCTAATGGCTTTTCCCTCGTATGCACTGGGTGGACACTAACAAGAATTTGCCATTAAATTTTCTGTTACAGAGTGGAACTTTTTAGTATCAAATGAGCTTATCAAAATATATGACTGGGTTTCTGTCCTAGAAGTTTTCTTGGAGATAAATTTTAGGAGAAATTAAGCATTTTTCCCCAAGATAAAACCAAGTTATTAGGTAATTTTAAATTCATTTAAAGTTGTTTAATCATCCTTTCCAATGATTCTCATTCAATTTTGCTCATATTTTATTTGAATTACTGTCTTCTTAGCTGCTGGGTCCCCACAACTGATGCCTGTTCACCCTGTTTCACAGTTATGTTCTCTGGGACGTGCTCACCTGTTAGAGGACTCCTCTGCAGAATGCCCGTGTTAGCTAGCCCTTGCTTTACTGTGATCTCGTCTTAGCATTGCCTGGACCGATGAGCACATGGAAAATGCAGTGCACGCGTATGTGAACCATTGTAGTCAGTGCCCTGCTAAGGCCCTGGCTGTCTCCAGCTTTTCTCTGCTTGTTCAGATGACTAATCATGGATTCATCACGTGCTGCAGCTGAGAGAAAGATCTGGAGGTCTCCTGGCCCTACACGTTCATTTTAAGTCCAGAGGTAGGAGCTCTCTAGTCAAGAGCAACCTAACTAGTTAGTGTAAGAGCTAGGACCAGACTTCAGTTCATTCAGTGCCAAGGAGGCATCAAAAAGAGAGAGGCAGAGAGAGAGAGTCTGAACAAGGACAGATTAAATAAAGGTCTGTGGTCACTTGAGGAACTCATAACTGAGTAAAAGGACTCAGATAAGCAGATACTTACGAACTCCTTGCCTTTGCTAGAACATGCTCCTCCACTGGAGGGGTGGGTAGTACAAATACCTGGTAGATCCCGCCTGTTTCAGCTTGGCCATCTACACAAGTATAAAGGAACCGCTTTTGGTTTTAATCATTTGTTTATTCTTCTCCTTGAGTCATTCATGAAAAAGCACCTGTGAGTGCCCAAGCTAGGCTGGACACCAGAGCCACTTAAATGCCACATGCCGGCGGGCAGATCATGGTCTTACCTTCAACAATTTATAGTCTGGTGGAAGGAGACAGGCACAGAGGAACAAGGTACAAAGGTGTCAAAGGAACTAAATGTGATCAGGTCATGGACGACTCAGTTTCAGTCCTGCAGAATCCGCATGGGGTTGTCCCCGGCATTTTCCCTGTGAATTAAGGAGGGAAGTGTTGGATGCACCGCCCCGGCATCTCCATTTGAAGCTGGCTGGAACCTTGCTCTGCGGCCTTCCGCCCCTGCCCTCTTCCACTGTCTTCCTCGTGAAGCTAGACTGTGTGTCTCAGGTGTGTCACCGCCGGAAGCTGCCCTGCCCCGGAACCTGGCTTTGCCTTTCGATAGATACAGTGTGCGGAGAGCATGCTGTCTCTGGTCCGCAGTCCAGTTGGTCGCTTTATTCATCAGCTCATTCACTCATTCGTTTCTTCCCCTGAGTGTGCACCGGGTGCTGGGCACTGCAGATAGAGCGGAAAGCAAAGATAGACATGCTTCCCCGAGAGCTTATCACCTATGCCACAGGGAGAAGCCACGTGATGAAATAACATGTGAAAATGTGAAATGACAACTGGGAAAAGCGTGGTCCCCGTGGTCCTTTGGGAACAGGGACTGCGGAGTGGAGGCCGTGTGAGGTTGTGGAAAGAAGAAGGTGCAGAGAGGAGGGCAGCCTACAGCAGGCCCCCTGCTGGAAGGAGCACAGCTTACCTTTGACGTGGTGTCGTCTCTAGTTTTTTGACTTCACACACGGCTAAGCTGCCTAACATTTACAAAGTTGTCGTTGTTGTTTTCAATCTGCTTTTCATCTCTCAACTTGTTTATTGCAGACCATCCTTTTTATTTGTTATGGTCTCCCCATCCTTATGATGCATTGGCAACAGTATTATTTTTGCTGTTCTGTATGCATCTTATTGCTTTAGCTTTGCAGGGACTTCCCTGTGAGGAGCAGAATGCAGTTTATGAAACCTGACAATCATGCTCCAGTACCCCTCTGCTGTCTGCTAAGCCACGCAGATAGCAGTGTGGACAGAGTCAGGGCAGAGCTCTGGGTGGCCCCTGACGGAAAACACCCTGGAAAGCGGCTCCCTGCCCCACCCCTGTCCCCGGGCTGCTTCTACCAGGATAAGGCAGGAGTCGGTTTCTCCAGATGCCTGCAGTACGCCTATACACGGCTGTTAAGACCTCTAAAAAGGTGACTGTGAACAGTCCTTACGCAGGTCCTTCAGGAGAAGCCGGAACATGAACCAGCATGTGTCCTGGTCAGGAGGGAAGAACCTCAGGTCGCTCCTCCTGGATTTCAACACCTGGCCTGTTCTTTTGTGACCTGGATGCCCGCCGGATCCAGTTGCTCTCTCCTTTTATTTCTACATAAAATAGATGTGCTATTCCTGTGTTGACTGTGAGGGCTACATGCATGGATTCATATCAAGCTCTCAGAATAATGCTCACTACATAACAAACTCTTCCTAAATCCTGACCAGTCAAGTAGCTCAGACCTGGTGTTAGTGCTTTGGAAGTCTGTCACCTACCGCTGCCTCATTTGGGAACTCTTCTTTGTAATCACATACAACTCAAAAACTAAGTTGTTTTAAGTCTAGTGATTTACAACATCTAAATTAACATGGTCCACAATCATAAGACTTCTAGTATGTGAGAGTTTCTGTATTCCATGCCTCACTGTAATAACACATACCTGTCCCCTATAGTCTGAAAACCCGCACCTCCAGACAGTGACTGGCACTCTGATTTAGGAAGGATCTTTAGCCAGGTTGGCACACAGAAAAACACTGTGGTTTCCAGCTGTTCTAAACCATCAGCAATGGGATCAGATGGTGAAGCCTGTTTGGGTGCAGTCATTGGCAGTAAGGACCCGGCATTACCCACAGCCTGTCAGTGAGAAGCCCACCCTTGGCCCCAGGAGGTCTTGCTTTTGGGCCCTGCAGACGGCCTTCTGTAGAGTTTGCCATCACTAATTGCCCTGGGAATGCTTTCCCAGAGGATCAGAAGCAGCCCACTATAGGAAAAGAGAAGAGAACTGGAGAGTTTAAAAGAGCCTAGAGGAGGCGTGAGAGAAAGCCTAAGCAAAGACAGAAGTTGGTGTGCAGGGAAGGATCTTACCTTCCTCCAGCCCGCCAGAGGCAGACCTGGACCTGAGTGGGACCTAGCGAGTCTTCCCAGCGAGTCTCTGGAACAATTTCTCCAGTGCTCAACTTGTACCTAGGCCAAGGCCTAGGCAGGTGTGGAGGGCAGACTGTCCACACGCTGCACAGTGACACGTTGGTGGGCCTGTCCACGTCGCCGGCTCAGGAGGCTCTGTTACAGCCTGAAGCTGCTTGTCTGCCAGCCCCAGCCCCCTGAGCCCCCTCAGCATCCCCACCTTTACCCCAGCACAGCTCCACAGTTGGTAGCTCATCTGTGGAAGCGTAATCTGAACATAAATTAAGTGGCCACTTGGGAGTTTTAAAGACAAAAGGAAAACTTTTTCATTTTAGGGACAGAAAATTCAGTGTCTGCTGTGCCAGTGCACCCTGAAATGCTTTCATCTCAATGCTAATTTTATGCTGAAAGGAGGAACTGGAAGTGGAGGACAATCTGAGTGGCTGAAAATCAGGTGGACCCTCACCTCAGTCCCACTGGGAAAATGTCCCCAGGACTCCCAGCACTGCTCCCTGCTTGCAGTGTCTGCAGGTATCCCTTCAGGGTTGCCATGGCGACTTCCTTGGTGTGTCCAGATCCCACTGTGGACTCCTCTGCTGGTTTTAAATGAATAATGGATTCATGAAAGGTGGCATCTCAGAGGCACAATGCAACTTGTAATTCTGACCTTGACCTCTTTGGATAGGTGGGCATCATTTGATATTTGGTTCTAGATTCACCTGAGTAGGACATGAGACATTAACATGGGGACATCATCATAGTCATCTCTGTTCCCTGAGCACTAACTTGGAGCCTGCCTGAGAGCAGGCACTCAGTGTGTGCCTGTGGACCTCATAGCTGTGACCTGGACACTGCCCTGGGTCTTCATCCAGCACCTTAAGGGCAACTGGACACCAATCAGAGTGACCTTATCGCTGCCCCTCCCCCTAGTTCACAAGGAGGCTTTATCACGGCCCTGCCAGTGCCGAGTTTCCTGTGTCCTTTGACGCAGCATGACACCAAGATTGTGTGTTTTGTTTTCAAATGACAGTTCATGGTAAAAAGAATGTCTTTTTATCATGGGTCCAAACTTCAGGATCAACATTAAGACCAGTGGGATGAAAATTATAAAAGATGGTTTTCAGCCCCATAAAAAGAGGTTTCTAACAAAAAAGCCATTTGCAAGAGAGCAAGTCCCCATCATTAATGTGTCAAAGTAGAGCTGTGTGGTCGTGCACGACTGCTGTCCTGAGGGTGCCCTTCAGGAGACTCTGTGGGCCGGGCTGCTGCTGGCTTCCCTCAGAGGCCTCTCTGGCTGACATCAGGAGCCACAGCTGGCAGCAGCAAGGAGAGGGAGCCTCGAGCACACACAGGTGGGAGTGGGCCGTGGCTCTGGGGGCCATCTCCAGGGCTGCAGAGCTGTCTGCCCTCTGTGTGGGAGCCCAAGGCATACAGCTGCACACTGCTGACTGGGGAGTGAGCTGCTCCTTGATGCAGCTTGTCTTGAGCACAGAGAGACTTTCCTACAGGGATGGCATGTACATCCTCCCCAGGGGTCTGGGATGAGACCTTTGAAATACAGAGGCATGGGCATATGTGTGAGCTGCTTGCTGTCTGCTTGGTAAGCAGGCCACTGACCTTGTGGTTCTGGTGTATTCATCCCTCCCTTGACCCCTGCCTTGGAGTGTCCCAGCCAGTGACCTGGAACAGAAGAAAGTACTTGATAAGCCATTTCTGGAAACCCCAGGTGCTGACATGAAGTGAGCCATTTGGAAGGACAATGAAAATTACGTTTCTTTCTGGTAACTATTTCCTTTGATGATAATATAGTTCTGCCTGTTTAATGCTTTAACAAAATAGCAGAACTCAAATGGGCAAATGAAGAGCAGATCACTAGCCAGCTATTGGGTGGCCCTGTGGCAGCAAGTGAGGGCTCCTTGCTTCATTTCTGTGGCTGTTCTGCTCTCCTGTGGGTGGAAGGAAATGGGTGACAGTACTAAAGAGGTGGCAGAAATCGTAGAGGTACTGGCACTGAAGACAGGAGACTTCATGGCCGCGGACACGCTGGGAAACTAGAGTGAAAGGGCTCCAGGGGTGTTCAGTTCACTGTCTGCAGCTAACCCTGCAATGCTGGGCACCTCCTGTGTGCAATATCCTCTCCCAGGGGTTATACAAAGAAGAACACTAACTTAGAGCACTTATGTCATACAGAAAAGGAGCACAACTAAGTGTCACTTATTTTTTTGTTGTTTGTTTTTGCCACTTCTGCAGCAAAGCACGTAACTATGTGCAGTAAACCGTTGATGATAATAACCAGTGCTGGTCCCTGAGTGTGGATTAAACAGGAAGGAGGAGCACCGACTGCCTCCCTGAGTTCGCACCAGGAGAGCAGCCACCTGAATGTGCAAGGAGTCCTGTCCTTGCAATGCCTGGAGCTCTGAGAAATGTGCCAGTCATAAGGAGAGAGACCACAGTTTGTGAATACTCAGCACAAGATAGGTGTGCTATGTACCAGTCACATATATTGCCGAGTACACTGGAGATACAAAGACAGACAGAGAAACAGGAAATTAAAATGTGATTAAGGTCATACCTAGCAAAATCAAAATTTGGAAAAGAACAGGTGTTATTTGACATTGACAATACCCCCTTCAGGTGAGCACTGTGGTACACTCCTGTCAACCTGGCTAGTTGGGAGACTGAGGCAGGAGAATCATGAGTTTAAGACCAGCCTGGACAACTTAGTAAGATCCTAAAATAAGAAATAAGAAGGGCTGGGGATGTAGCTCCATGATAAAGTGCCCAGAGTTCATTCTCAATAACACACACATGCACACAAATAGCCCCTTGAAAGAAAAGACAAAAACACTATGAAATACCAAATGTGGAGTCAACCAGCTGAATACATAGAATCACAGAATGTCAGAACTCAACAAGTCCTTTAGAACAATCCATGCAAATCCTATTCTACTAATGGAGAGACAGAAGTCCAAAGAGGTACAGGACCAGCACTGTTTGACATTTCTTTTTGGCATTGTGTTCATTGGACACGTGCACCTTCACAGCGATATCCTATTTTTTTTTAAATTTTATTTAAAAGGAGCAAGAGAAAAACACAAAACAAAACAAAGTGGTGTAAGGGTACAAGTAATACAGAACTACAAAAAAAAAAAAAAAAACAGTAAGAAATCACCAGTTAATAGATTACACATTATCGTCCTAGAGACAGTTGCCCAAATCACAGTATCAAAGCATACAAAGTGGACACTTAAACAGCGAGACTGCAAACAGTTGTGTTCAATGATCCAACCAAAAACATCAATATGGTCAGCTATTTAACACCCCTAAACACACTTGCTGTTGTATCCTTTAGAGCTCTTTTTTTCCCTCTCTTTTTTACAACAAAATTTACACATTTTGGGTTTTATTACTCCTTAGTTCTTATTACTTCTTTGGGGGGGAGAGAATAAAGTCAAATATGGCAAAACAGAGCTGTCAGTCAAAACCAAGGATAGGCATAGCACATGATGCAAAACAGAGTACAAGGTTATCAACAATGGTCATCAACAATGTCTCTTGTTTCCTTAAAAAGAATTGTCTATCTCATTAGATATTATAAAGTTGAACAAAACAGTAGAGAACAAGACCAACAAAACTTAAGCATTGTAAACATTACAGGACTTCCAAAGGAGACAATAGTCAAACCAGAATGGGCATCCCAGTGAATCCTATTGCCTTCAAAGTAGTCGCCTATACCCTCAAACTTGACACCATCATACAGAATGGAACAGAGTCTAATCAGTCAAAACAAGATCGTGGGAGTATTACAGGACTTCAAAACAAGTTA